GGGCCTGCTGAGCTCTGAAAAGCTGACAGCACTCCCTCACACACTCCCACTCCTCCTTGCAGACACCCTAATGGTGTTTCCTTTATCCGAAAAGAGATTGGGGAGCGCCTAGTGGTTTTTGAAGTGGGCATTAAGACTCCAGGGGCCTGATCTCAGGAGCTGCTCTGAATTCTAATCCGTGGCTCTCCGAGAGGCATGGCCTTCCTGTGCCTGCTTCAGAGACCGTGGCATCCAAGAAGGCTTCTGAAAAGAGCTGCCAGTGATTCTGATGTGGCCCAACCTGGCCCTTCCTCACACCACGTTGCTCTGCCCAGGACCTGGAGGGGGAGGGGCAGGCAGGAGGAGGCATACAGCGTCTCGTGGCACCTTCAGGTACCAGGCACTGTGCTGGGCTCTTCTAACTCCTCAGCAGCCCTGCTGGGTAAGCATCGTTATGCTTCACAAAGGGGAAACTCAGGCTCAGAGAGGTTCAGTAGCTCACCCAAAGCCACACAGCAAGTATGTATAGAAGCTGCTGTTGATTCTGTTTTGCTTCCTGGAAAGAATGGGAGGGTGAGCCTGGGTGCCCATGCTGGGCGTGGGAGGTGGGGAAAGAATGAGTCTAAGGGACTGGGTGTCCTACCCTGTGGGGCGAGGGCCCGTCCTGTGTGGTTCCAGGCTCAGCCAGTGAGAGCAGGTGCAGGGGAGGTCAGGGGAAGTCAGCAGGTGGGGGGAGGAGGGGCCGGTCACAGGCAGAAACTCGGCAGGGCCTATGGCTCGTGGGCTTCTGTCACTGGATGTTTCCCAGCAGGACCCGGACAGCAGAGAGGTTTGGCAATGGGCGGGGGCTCTGACATGGCGAGCTCCAGGAGTCAGAGTCGCCGAGGACCGAGACGGTGACAGTGTATCGGTGGCCGGGTTAAGCACCTCCCACGCGTCTGGTCCATCTCAAGGGCTTTCCGTGTGTGTAACCCACTGAGGGCCCTGCTTTGCAAGAAACCAGAGAGTGCCAGGAGGCCTTTAGGGCAGGTGTAGAGAGCTCACTGGCCCTAGCTGCCGGCTGGCCTAGGTCCGCAGGAGGTGACGGCGCTCATCAGCCGGGGAGGGCAGAGCTGGAGTCCACGTCGCACTCTGGACTCCGCTGTCTGCTCTCCGCTGCGGGGAAGGAGGGAGGGCGGGCAGGCTGCTGCACAGCTCCAGGGCTCTCTGTTCCCTGGGCTCTAAGCAGGTGTCCCCCCACCCAGGTCTGGAAGAGGTCAGGGGCCTGGTTCTACAAAGGGCTCCCCAAGTATATCTTGCCCCTGAAGACCCCCGGCCGGGCTGATGACCCCCACCTCCGTCCTTTGCCTGTGGAGCCGGCAGAGCGAGAGCCCAGAAGCACTGAGACCAGTCGCATCTACACGTGGGCTCGTGGGAAAGGTAAGTCCCTGTCGCCCGTCTCCCAGGACAAGCTCTCTCCAGGCTGTCAGCCAGTGGGCAGCGCGTGAGGGTCCCGTAGTGGCAATTTCACAGACGAGTGCTCAAGTGAGGCAGGGACGCCGCGACAGCACCGTAGATCTCTGCAGAACGGTGGTGAAATGGAGTTTTTGAAAAATGTAGAAACACATCTTTCTGGCCCAGATGGTGACGCGGCAGTGAAGTGCGATGCTCTGCAAGGCTGGCGTGGAGGAAGGTCCCGGGTTCGTGACTGGAGACCTCCCTGAGTGCCCTGGTGCGCACGGGTCATGAGCTGCGGCCGGCTGAGGCCGGGGCTGGAGCTACACGGAGAGCCTGTTGGGGCTGCTCTCCCCCTCTGTCTTTCTCACTCACGGAAGAGATAAACAAACTTTAAAAACACGCATCTTTCCCAGGCAGGCTTAGACCCTCTCTTCCTGTGCTGTCGAGTGTCTCTCAAAGGGAGGACACTGGCTTTCCTGGTCCTGGTGAGCGAGGCGACTTTGTGCCCCTTGGTGTTTGCAGTGGCTGTCCTGAGGTGACTGTGTCCCAGCTGGTCACCCCTCGAAAGTGAGCTCTGCCCATCGGCCATGACGGTGGTGCCACGTGTGGGAGATGTGTCTCCACCGCTGCCATCGGGGTGCCACAGAAGGCGCAGCAGGTGGGCAGGGCTGGTGTTTAGTAGCCCCAGTGCGCAGACGGGAGGACCGAGGCTCAGAGACGGTGCCCTCACGGGTGTACGGCAGAGCTGCGATCCGAAGGGCAAGGTCTGGGTCCTTCAGCCCTGACATGCCCACATGGCCATCCAAGACTCAGAGTCTAGGGGTTCTCAGGGAGACAGAAGCCAGAGAGGACGGGCCCCTTCCATGCAGAATGGCGTCAGCACCTTGGGGTCTGCGCTCTGGCGGGGAAGCTTTGGCGGGGGGTTCCCATTACCCCTTCTTTTTCTCGGCAGCAGCCTCACCTTGCTAACTGCACGGGCTCTGTGTGCTCAGCTAATTCCCGAGTTCTTATTTGGAAGGATTAGGATGGGGGCGGGGGCGGGGGCGGACGCAGGTAGAGTCCTAGTAGGTGGAAGGAGGGGAGTGGGCCTAGCTCAGACACTGGCCTGAACGGGGCACAATGGCTGGGTGGCCATGGAGAAGCCACCTTCCACAGTGGTCATTCCCACCCTCAGGGCTGGGGCTTTCTCTGCTGAGTCCTGCCTGGGTGTACCCCTGTCGCTCAGCCTGAGGGAAGAGGTGTGGCCATGGAAACAGAAGTGGGGTGCTAGCGGGTTTAGAACTCTGCTGCAAGTGGGTTGAGGAGAGGCCCTGTGAGCTGGCTGTGTGAGCAGCTGTGACTTGAGGCCCTGCCCCTCGGGGCTGTCACTGCCATGCCTGCTCCAGATCAGTACCGCATGCACGTGTGCACACATACACACGCATGCACGCACACATACCCTGGGAGGAGCAGAGCCCTGCCCCTCCTTGGCCATGCAGACACAGATGGCCTTTTAATTGCATGAGCGAGGAGGCCAGTGGCCCCACACACTGGGGCTCGCCACCTCCGAATAACTGAGTTTACAGTGAGGCCGGGCCATGCACCCTGCAGCTCCCCGTGTGAACTGGCTCCTCCTCCTAGGTACAGGCCGCACACCCCGTCAGGCTCCCCCGTGTCAGGTGTGTCCCGGTCTTGGGACTGTCCAGGGACCTGTCGTGTGGCAGCTCACAGCAGCAGGATGGCGAGGGCTGGGGCTGGACTGGTTGTGGGAGCCTGGGAGGCATCTGTGCCCACACCTAGAAGAGGGTACGCCAGGGCCTGGGGGCACGGTGTGGTAGGCAGGACTGACCTGGGAAGATCCACGGTGCTGTGGGAGGGGGGAGGTGGAAGAAGTTAAGGAGGTACTGCCTTGGAGGTGGGAAGGCAGAGTTCCCATCCCAGAGAGCTGAGGTGCCGGGTTTCCAGGGGGCCCTGGAGAGCCACACAGAGCCCATCATGCCTGAACTGCATCAGCCTGTCCCTGCAGGTGAGACTCCAGGGGGCCAACCCTAAGCCAGCCCCTTTAAGCCTTGCAGCAAAGTCCTGGCAGCCTCTGGGGAGGGCTCGGCCGGCCCGGCACG